TTCATAGCCTTAGGCTTGCTATCACCAACAGAAACACTAGAATAGAATTAGCTTATCATGGATTGAACTCTGCAACTGGCTCAGGTGCTCTTCCTATTGACAGAGCTTCTGTACACTGGTTGAAGAACAATGCTGCCTCCTTGTAATCCACCCCAAACTGGTAGATCTAAGGGCTAGGGTTGCTCTCTAAATTAGGCATGTTTAAATAGCTTATCTATGGGTATGTGAGCACATTCATGTTATGTGCTTCTTCTGGCCAAGGCAATGTTTTCTTCATTAAACATTATATTCATTACTTTGCCAAATGACCGGATTTTATGATTAAACATACCAATTTCTGCGGTATTAATAACAGAATTAACCCTGTATCATTTTAGGCATCTTTTAAAAACCTCAAAATAGAAAGATGGCTGCTAGACAGTTCATTAGATATGACAAAAACAAATACAAGCATAATGGAAGTTGTAGGACTGTTTACTGCCTACACATTCATTGAATTGTAGCTTTAAGAATCTATCAGAGTTGGATGAAATAAAAAAGATCAAAATCCCTTCAGGTATTGGCTAGTTAAGATCTAACAGTCAAACTTAACCTGCAATTGGATGCATATTTAGATTTATCTTGCTTGGGGAATGCTAGAATTTTTAGGCCCTTTTCTGTCTAAACAGAGACAGCATTATGCCTTTTCAGAATTTTTGAGGGCAGGGTGGAAGGAACAATATTAGGCTAATTTGTTTCATATTTGTGGAAAACTATCCATGTAACTTCCCATCTACATTTTATTTTACACACTACAATTTTGTATAACTTATTTTATATTTTTTCAATCTTCTTCCATTTGAAGTGGGCCTTGGAAATTTGTAATAATTAAATGATTAACAACATCTGGAATAACGTATGTATATTAGAATAAATATTACTAAGTTGTGATTGTATCATATTCAATTCAAAATGTTGTAACCCATTGCACTGTCCATGGAATGGTTTTTACTTATTTTTTCTATTAAATGTTGCTTACACTGCAAGATATTCTAGTATTTCTATATTAAAAACACCACTGTTTTCTAGGGCTAAATGCAACATGATATTCATTTAATCAATGAACTATATTTACACCTGTCTGTCCATATCTTTTATATCTGTGTATCTCTAGCTATTGGAGAGGTATTGGATGGTGTAACAATGAAATATATATCATCCATATCTATCAGTATATTGCATTCCATCTCCCTTCCCTTTGAAGTAATATATTTCCCTTTATTCCTTAGTCCAGTTATTGCATTGTACAGCTGCCTCTTCACAATGGGAAGCAATATGGTGGACTAGCCTGATTTTACAATTTGCTCTCATTTGGAGTGGCTGGAAAAGTTCATTTTGTTGGCTGTTAGTGGAACCGCTTGGCTAAAAACAAACTACAACTGAATGGTCCTAACTGGCAAAAAAGACCCGTACTAAATAGAAGTTCGTTTCATTATCCCAGAAATTATGCAGGTTAGATAGGAAGGAAGACAGCCTGCACCTAATTGCACCACAAAAGTTTCCCTTTTATATCACTGTGGTTGCCCTTTCATCATTCCTGAAAACGATAGATGGTTGAACATACTGAATTTTGTTAAATATCCTTAGCTTCTCTCACAGAATCACATCCAGTGGCTTTTAAACCAATCTAAGACTTTAGTGAAGAGATGCCGTGATGCTGACATCAAATAAATAATCAGCATTATAGGCAGATCCAGTGTATGTTTATGGAGAAGTAAGCTGCATTCTGATCAACTTCCAAATAAGTGCAGAAGGATTGCAGCAATATAGTGCAATCGTGTGTATCTACTCAGAAGTAAGTCCTATTAAGTCTGCATAATAGTCTTCCCTAGTCTGTTTTTTTCCCTATCAGCCTCAGATAAGAGACAATGGAGAGCATTCATGGGAACTGAAGTCCAAAACATTGGGGACACCAGACTCAAAGAAGCTGGAGTGTATGCTTACAGCCTCAGCATTGTTTCTTGAAGGGATCCCTTGTATGCATATGTAGTGGTCACTTTTAGTTCTTGAAAAATAAATCAAGGGAAGATCATCTTTGGTTGATTTTTTTGGCTCCTTTTTTGGTTCACATTTCACAAGCTATGTCCAGTACCAAATAGCCTGTAGACCACATGGTTTTCCAATTATGAAGAAATTCACACTCAAATTGTTCTACATGTAGTTCACCTTTTCTTACTCTTCCTGGTGACAGCAGGATAGAGCCTATTGAATTAACATCTTATAACCCTACCTAGAATTCACAAAATGATTTCTGCTCTTGATACTTTTGTATCCTCATGTTTGAAAAACTTGTAGAGTGTTTCTGTTCACTTGTTTTGGAAAAGGAGTCAAGAGTACATAAAAATGGTAACTGTTGCTTTGCACCCAGTAATATCTGCCTCTTAAGAACAGAACACAAGGGTCTTCACAATCTTTGCTTAGGCAATGATATTGATGAAAAATGGTTAGGTAACTCTCATTAATTTCAATGAAGTAAGCCCTATTGATTTCAGTGACACTTACTGCCAGGTAGATAGCTTGCAGTGTAAGAAATTATGATAAGGAGATGCAGTGCCAATAAGAAAACACTCCAGGGAGCTGCTAGGATGTCAATAGGTACTTATAAGAAGCAGGTGGCATATCCTGAGAAGGAAACCACCAGTAAGCTGCAGATGGCACAGTGACATTACTGGGAGAAATTAAATGTAATGAAAGTGCAGGTTGTAGGGAAATAAACCAAAGAGAGTGTTAAATAGCAACCAGTAATATGTGCTTTCTGGGTTTCCTCTAGTTCCATTTCTTGCTTTTCCCAGAGGAATCCTATTCCTTTTGGTCCAAATTGTTTTCCCCAACTCATTTCCCCTATAACTCCACTCTCACCACACTTCTCCTACAAGCAAGGCATATTACTCTACCCGCTGGTCCAGGAAACCTTGACACCCCCACCTGGTCCATCCTCTCCAGTGGAGCTTGCTTGACGCCTTTCTGTAAATTGCTACACCCCATTGGCATTCCAGCAACTCGGCTGGCATTCTGCAGGATGGCTGATGCATTCAATCTGTCACTCGTGTTCATAAATCTCACCCACAGAAAATCCCACATTTAAAGTAGGAACGGAAAAGGGGTAGATCTGGAATCCTCGCTTGCAGCCTTTCCCGTTTGATCCTGTTGCTTTGGTCTTCTCCCTGCCTGCTGCCTGAGCCCTTTTTCTCCCTTTCCAGCTTGGCTTCAGCGGCCGAGTTCCAGCTCAGCGCAGCCCGCCTGCCTCTCCCTCTGCTTCTTCACCCAAGGAGCTTACTGTCGGAGTCTGAGCTGAAGCTGCGGTGCCGGAGGGGTTTTGTCTGCGCCCAGCGCGCAGGCTCGCCTCTCGGGCATGCTCATTAACACCGGGGGAGTCCAGTCTGCTGGGAGACCGCGATCCTGGGAAAGTTGCTCCATGGCGTAAGGAGTCTTTAAACGAGAGGCTGGGGTTGACCGCGTAGAAGCGCGACTTTCGCCACTGCCTCCGGGCAGGAGTGCACACCCTCGGAGCTGCGCGCCCGCCAGCCAGCGCGCGTGTCTTCCTGCCTCTGCATTTCGAGGGGAGAGAAGCAGTCAGTGCCCCAGGGAGGGAAAGCGGATCTCCGGAGTGCGTCCTTCAGCCAGAGGCTACTTGTCTCTCCCGCCTGGGGAGATTAGGCACTCCCGAGCCCGAGCTGCGGGCAGTGAGAGAGGTACCTTGGCCAGCCTGCAGTCATCCGCGCCGCTCAGGCGCACTCGAGAGAGGAAAATTGGAGACTGAGCTACCCCATCTCCCTCCGTTGCCCCCAACCATCACCACCATCAATCGAAGAGAAGGAAAGCGCTTCGGAGGAAGCCGAGCCTGCAGTTCCCACCCTGACCTCGCACATCGAGCAGAGCATCGCGGATCACTCACGGGCTGAAACCAAAGAAGCTTCCCAGGCTGCTTTCTTCCTGCAAGGACCGCGTGACGCCCTGTCGCCTGGATTCGCCCGATCCCTCCTTCAGCCTGCTTATCGTCGAATGGACACGTTTCCGTGGCGGAGGGCGACTGCAATGGAAGCATCAACCTGTGGGCTGAAATTCCTTGCCTGACTGGGAAGCAGCGGCCGCGGCGGGGCCACCTGCATCTTTGCCAAAATACGCTTTGCGGTTAAAGCACAGGAGAGGGGGAGGCGCACCGGGCGCAAGGGAAGGATCGCAGTCCGGGCTCTGTACAGCCAGGTCGGCGGACTGAAAGGTGGCAGCGAGCAGAAGGAAGAGGAGGAACTCCACGCATTCTTCGCAGGCTCCCGAAGCGGCGCGAGAGAGATGCCCCAGCGCCACCATGGCCAGCTGGCACCTGCCTTGCCCTGGGATGAAAGGATTAATTGAATTGCTTTGAACTGGGGAGGGGAACAACACGCTCTCGCAAGCCAGCGGGGAAAGCAAAACACGGTCGTCGAAGGCGAAGTTGTAGCGAAAAGCTACCTTCCCCCCTTCCCCTCTCCTCCCTTCCCTTCCAACCCCCTCCCCTTCCTTTCCCTCCCTGCAGCCCACTCTTTTCCTCTTATTACTGGGTCGTGCCAACCAATCCCAGTGAGGACGAGTAGCGGCAGCAGCAGCAGCCCTGCGCCGACAGGGCTATTGGCTTCCCCTGGGCAGCGCTGGGAAGACCGGCTTGCCTCCCGCATTCCTCTCACTGATGAGCTGAAGCAATCACTGAGCAGGAGAAGCCGCGGCAGAACCAGCAAAAAAAGAAAAACACCTCATCGGAGCAGGGGGAGCGGTTGCGCAATTCTGCCCAGATTGTCTCCCCTCCCCTTCCTCTCCCCCCCCCCCCCCATCACCCCACAGTGCTGCTCGATTCCCGAGGAAACAGAAAGCTGATTCATGGAGCCCAGAACGAGTTTCCTCTGTGCTTCTCTCCTTTTCAAGATCATGCTGCTGCTGGTTGAGACTTTGTGTTAACCCCCCCTTTCCCCCTCCCCCAATCCAAGGAGAGCGAGAGAGAGAAAGCTGCCTCCGATTCCTGTCGTTTTCTTTATTTTGGAAGTGTGGTTATTGGCTGGCTCAAACCCGGGAAACATTGATGCATCGCTCTGGAAATTCATTGTGTGACTTTCTTGGTATTTGCTGAGTTTCAACCCGAGATGCAGCTCTTGAAAGCTTTATGGGCATTAGCAGGAGCAGCTATTTGCTGTTTTCTTATATTTGTCATCCATTCCCAGTTTCTTAAAGAAGGTAATTATATCTGCATGTCTACCTATACAGTTCTTTTCTTCTTGCATATGCTCAGGTCTGTAGTTTGTGTTTCCTAATTATATCTTATGATTTCCAGGATGTTCTAGCTCCACAGATTTTTCTCTACATTATCGCGTTATTATCAAAGAGCTTTATTTTTCCTTTATTGTGTTTGCAAGGTTTGCAACAAGAGGATTTATATTCCTGCTGAGTGCATTCCATGGTTTATGAGGGTAATGTTGGAATTCTGTAGGCTTAGTTTATACATTTATGAGCTGTAAACAGTTGTTTTTCTTCTTGGTGGATGACAAACTTTGCTGCTATTTAACACACACATAAACAGTCTCTGTTAACCGTTTTAACACAATACAAACATCCAATAAGTAAAAATACATATTTTAATATCAGCTCAGCAGTCGTCGTCATCATCATCATCATCATATTTTTTCCTTTTTTTAATAAAGCAAATTCAGGACATTTTCAATAGATGGCACTAAAGTTCTATGGTCAGGGCAAATAGGAGCAGCAGAGCTTGGCAGAAGAGCCCTTCCTCATCCTTTGCTAAAACTGGAGAGGCCTTTCTGCCTAATTTTAGGATTTCTCTATTGAGAGCTGAAATAAATATGGTATAACAAACAAACAAAATCCAAATGATTATTCTTTGTACAGGTGAAAAAGAATACCAGGATGCAGTCCATGGTTGAACATAAGATTATTCTTATTTTGGAATATATTATTTTATTTTAGAACCTTTTTGGGTTTTGTCCTGCTACTGAGAATATAACCCTTTAGTTCTTATACTTAGTTGTTTACTTTACAACTTGTGATCCATGTTAAAATACTTGAACACAAGTGTGGCAGAAAATGCAGCTGCACTTCTAAAAAATAACAAATCCACAAAGATGTTTAAACTGACACTTGTACAACCAATACTATTTTTTAAATGTATTCTATATATGTCTTGCACCCCTCTTTCTGAACAGTAAAATCAGAGAAGGATTCTATCGTTAGGAGATGGAAAAGAAGTTTGAGCTCATGAGGCAGAATGTTTCTCCCCAGCTGTCCACTAAAATGCATGTCCTTGTGTAATTTTAACATGCCACTCTTTTGTTGTGAAAAGGAGTAGTCAAACTGATTGTTACATTCTAAAATGTTTGTATTGGAATAGCCATGTAGACTTAAGCATTCAACTTGGTTACATTTTCCTTTTAGAGTACCAGATGCAGGCAATGCTAGCTACTGTCTTCTAAAAACCCATTAATTTTAAGATTAATGGTTAACAACAGCAACAATAAGTAGTCCGAAGCAGATTTGTTTTCCTTTTATTTGAAAACATTTTGAGTAAATTATTAGAATAAAAATAGGGTTATATAGTATACTTATCTATGTGTTTTAAAAATGTGTATTCCTTTTAGTTTTTGCAATTTAAACACTTCTCTAACGAATAGGGAAAACCTTTAAAAACGCTGTAAGAAAAAGCAATTTGGTTTTACAAGACAACAAATTAAGTCATAGCAGTTTCAGTTTTTGAGAACAACAGGGTAATATCTACCTTCCAAATACTTGTTTATATATTATTTTATGACCAAATGTGGTTGCTTTTGCTACAAAGTGGTTGAGTGAATTAGTTCTAAGCTGTTTGAATTAGCTGAACAAGTTATAAGTTAATCCACTTTTGAATTCCATGTTACCTATTCCATATACTGCTTGCTAACACATTATTTTTGGTTGAATCTTTTATGTTTGAACATAGTGATATTCATGTCTAAAACATCTTTTTATAAAACATGAATATGATGCATTCATTTTTCTATAGTGGAAAATTCAATTGTACCTTTTACTTACTCTCATAAAGAGATTTCTCTTCTAACCTATGTATAAGATATAGGGAAAATGAATCTAGAAGCAGCTCTGGTTACTGATATATTGAACATAAATCAGTGACTGATGCCTTGTTTCTTCTTGTCTTGAAACATTTGGGCCTGTTTGGGGTTTTGTTTGGAATGCGAGGGATTGGGATTTGTTTTTGTTTTTTCCAGTTCTGTGTTGTTTCAGCGCACAGCTGAAGCTGAAAAAAACTGGTTCCATACTTGGCAGTCTCACTGTGTAACGCTGATTTGCTTTACTAAATCAAAATCTAGATACTATCACCTCTTCCAAGTCAGATCAGCTAGATGGTCCTATCAATTAGTGGCTTAACATTATTTAACTTTAATTGCCAGAACGGTTTTAAAATATGATTATGAATTCAAAGGACTCCTACTTCAGCACTCTTTAGCAAAGAAACTTAACAGCGAATGACTTGAAAAGAAAATTGGGACAACTCATATGTGGGCTTTGGATAAGTTCTGTTCCTACTTTGAAGTAGTCATTTAAGCAAGAACTTGCATGCAGATGTATATTATATGATCAGTAGACAAATTTAATTCAGTATAGTGGATCCATTATAAGGAAATCAAGTGTCACAGAATAGTGTAAAAACACTGAAATGGGTGGATCCAAAAATGCCTAGAGGAAAATACTGAATCACAACTAACTTGTCCCAGTGATTTCAGTGGGACTACTCTGAACATGAAAACGTCAGGATTCAACCCAATATTCTTATTTTTCTGTGATATCAAACAGTAGAGTAAGACTTTGACTTATTAATGAAAAATCTAGTCAATTCACTAGATATGTTCCTGGAAAATAACCTGAATAATGATGAAAATATGCTGGTGCTTACTCAGATTATTTTTCACCTAATAAACTTGTTTTTGCTCTTGGTGCAAAACACTCCAATAATGTTCAGCATAACTATTTTGTTGTGGCAGTGGGCGATTCATAACAGAAGTATAGAATCAGTTCCTATGGCCAGTATTACCATGTTACTTCACAATTCGTAAGTAGTAACATTAATGGAAAAGAAAGGGTTAAATGGCTGTTTCCACACACACACACACACTATATATCTATATATATATATATATATATATATATATATATATATACATACATACATACATACATACATACATACACACACATACACACCCACACACACACATCCTTATGTGTCTCAGTGTGTGTGAAGAAGTGAGTGAATAATGTCCGATACAGGGTGCCATGTTTCTACACATCAGCTTTTGTGTGGAATTGCAGTTCATCCTGTGGCTAGTGCATTTCCTTGTACCCAATCTGCCTTTCAGTGTTAAAAAAAACCCCCACGAATAAAGCTGTGAAATGAGAAAGTCTATTGCAACATATAATTGCACTTCTGTCTGATTTTCACGGAATGCAGTTTAACATACTCTGTTTGTTTCTGTTTGTTTGAAGAGTTGTTAAAAATTAAAACATTTAGCAATTCCTAAGGAATGTAAACATAGTACATTGGTGGGTTCTTCCTAATGCAAAACAATTTATCATCTTTCTGACATTATCTTCATCTGAAAGCTGAACTATATGCATGCAATAGAGAGTGGAGGTATATTTCATCTTGCAGTCTGCCCCTTGGCAAAAGAGCACATTGAATAAGCCCCAATAGCAGCTCTTCTATAGTATGATGTCCTTGATGATGAAACAGACATCATAGGCAGTTCTGTATGTAAAGGCTTTAAGGGAGCTTAATTAGAGAGAAAATGACACAGCTATGTACAAAGTAGCCCACTCATTTCTTTTTCTCAAGGAATGTTATATAGTTTCAGGATTTTTGATTTTTAATTTTGCCGTTGAGTTTCTTTCTGTATCTTTCTGTATCCTTTTACTGAAATGTGAAGCACAACTTTGTCTATAGTAGTAGAATTTGAATGCGGTGTTAGATTAAATAATGTAAAGGAAACATTCACTTTGTCAAGTGGAGCCTATCTAAAAGAAACTGAAGTTCTCACATTAGTTTGCTGTCTTGAGAATGAAAGTAGGTAGTATGTAGTTTGGTTTTTTGTCTTTATAGCTAAATGTAAACTGCAAAATCACTCATGCAGTTTTAAACACTTCTGGACAATTTTTCTCCCCCCCCCCCCCCCCGCCACACTGGTTATCTTAAATAGTTGTTTTATTGAAGTTTTGAAGAATAGTTGATTCACTGTGGGCCGTGCAAGTCAACATGTAACTGATTCACATCTCTTTTTAAAAACTGGCTCTACGGCTATGTATGGATGGGACATAGCAAAAACATACCCATTCAAAATTCCACAAAGCATGGCATGACCCAGAACTACAGTGAGAGTGAACTACAGTTGGAAGCAATGGTTCATGTTCAAATCAGGATGCAAGAATTTGTATGAAATATCAGTGTGTTTGAATGATTTATTATCAGCTTTCTTTTTTGAACTTGTTAGTTTGCTTCTATTTTGTGAAAGAGTACCATTTGGCAAATATCTGTGTATTTGCTGGGACTGAAAGAGGCAGTTGTTCTTGATGTATGTTTCAGGGCCAGGGTGACACTGACTCTTTGGACAAGAAAAGGGAAACCTGGAAAGGGAGCCCTGCAGATGTAGACATGGTGGAGGAGAAAGAACTTATCTCAAGGCTGCTGTCCTCAGGTGTTCAGGCAGACTCTGGGAACCAACACAGTCTGGAAGTGCCAGGAGAGGTCTTGGAGAGGAGTCAAGGAGCCTGGTCCAATCCTGACCTCATGATGCAGTGTGGGAGAAAAGGCCCGGTCAGCTAGAGGGCCTGTGTTCAGCTAGGGGGCTTGTCCATCTCAAGAGTGGCACTCCCAGAGCAGTGGGGTCCAGGGACCCTCAAAAGGAGGGTTCTCGCAAGGAGTTTCTAGTTTGGGTTCAACAAACAGTTCTGTGCATGCTCAGAGATACTTTCCTTGCCAGATATAGCTTCCTCGATAAACACTGGAAATAAATAATTTTTGACAAAGAGCTGTTGTTTGAAAGAGAGAATGAAGGAACCTAGCTCTCAGCAGTATTTTACATTAGGCCACTGTAACATCAGTATTGTAGCAGTAGGTGGTTTTCTCTGCAAATAGTTTGTTTATGAAGATCTCATAGAACTGCAGATTCTCAAGT